TCAGCAAACCCTTGATTGATGTGTGCATCCACCTTTAGTTCCTCCGTAAGACTCTCCTCAACAGCCTTCTTAACCGTGTCGATGGCGGAAATTTAAATTCTCGCATTGAAAGAGACCTTTTTTCCTACTGATTTTAGAAATTCGTTAATGTTGCTGCCTGACGTGGAAAATTAGCTGGGCCATGTTTCCACATTAACACTTGCTCTGTGTTCCTTTCCAATTGCCTCTTTAAGGGCTCCTGGATGCCTAAGTCCTTGGGAAGGGAATGGGCAAAGGCAGGTAGGAGGGAAATCACACGCAGAGCTAGTGTGTGCATGCAGAAGGGTGAGAGGTTTGGTGTTGTGGCAGGGGTGGTAGGATGAGGTGGTAAAGGGAGGCAGGGGCCAGAGCATGGGAACCTTGAAGGCCTGTGAAGGGTTTTGAACTTTATTTTGTAGGTGATGGTGCGTCATTGGTGGGTTTAAAATCCGGGTGACAAAGTTAGATTGTGTGTGTGTGTGTGTGTGTGCGTGTGTGTGCGTGTGTGTGATTGTTTTAGGGGATGGACTTTGAGGAGTCTCAGATCAGAAGGAGGGAGAGCTCCTGGAGGCTTTCATTCACATTGTTGACAGCCTGGACAAAGGCAGGGGTGGTGGGAAGAAGGCACCGTGGGAATGAGGAGTACCTACCTACACAGGAAGTGAAATGAGCAAGAACTGGTCATTGACGGGCTCCTCAAAGCAAGGCGGTATTAACAAGGTGTCCCAGGTCTCTAGCGTGAGTGAATGGGTAGGTTGTGGTGTCACTAACTAAAATAGAGGATTTAGAATACAGAATACTGAGTACAGAAATCAGGGAAATGGAGATTTTCCCTTAAATATTTTGAGTTGGAGAAACCTGTAGTCACCCAGGTGGTATAAGCAATAGGGAGTAGAATATGAAAACGTAAGCTCCCAGATCCCAGTAGAGGCGTGTTGGCCCGGTCCCAGAATGCCTGGATTCAGATCCCAGCTTCATCACTGGTGGTCAGTTTTCACAAGGTGGTGCAGCAGTGACAAATGATCCCCACGTCTTAATGGCTTACAATAAACTTGTAAATCCTCGCTGACGCATATGAAAGTTGTGGGTCGACTTTGGCTTTGTTCCGCATCTTTCTCATTCCGGAACCCAGGCTCGCGGTGGAACCCTCAACCCAGCCTTGTGCGGAGGGAAAAAAGCAATGGCAGAGACGCACAGCGACTCTAAAACTTCTGCTTAGCCCGGGCACCCAGCCCCTCTGCTCACATTCTATTGGCCAAAGTCAGCCACACGGAAAGCCTGAGGTCAATGAAGTGGGGAAATACACTCTTCCCATGGGAGGTACAGCATGCGGCCATGATCAGAGAGCCGTATTCCCCTAGTGGAGAAGGGAGAAAATAATGGGGCCCATCATACGCTCTTCCGCAACCACCAACAGCTATAAACCTTGGCGGTTTACTCAACGTTTCCCTGCTTTTGTTACCTCATCAGTAGAACGGGAGCACTGGTACTATCTCTTAGGATTGTTACATAAAGCACTCAGAACAGTGCCCAACGGAGCACAGAGTAAACGCTGTGTAAATGTAGGTGGATGGAGGGGCGCCTGGGTGGCGCAGTCGGTTAAGCGTCCGACTTCAGCCAGGTCACGATCTCGCGGTCCGTGAGTTTGAGCCCCGCGTCGGGCTCTGGGCTGATGGCTCAGAGCCTGGAGCCTGTTTCCGATTCTGTGTCTCCCTCTCTCTCTGCCCCTCCCCCGTTCATGCTCTGTCTCTCTCTGTCCCAAAAATAAATAAACGTTGAAAAAAAAAA